TGGAAGATGAACCATAGATGAACCATGTTAGGGAAGGAATCAGAAAAGAGTTGGCACTGGGTGTGGAGGCACACACCTGTAATCCCAGTGACTCAGGAGGCTGAGGCAGGAAGATTGCAAGTTCAAAGCCAGCCTCAGAAAGTAAGCAAGGCTTTAAGCACAAACAAACAAAGGAAAGAGTTGGCATTCTATTTGAACCTTGAAGTATGTTATTATGTGCTGTAGTGAAAAAAGTAATGATCTAATAAGGGTATAGGGTAAGCAAAGTTGGGTTGTATTTGAGTCTCATTGGGAAGAAGAAATAATGCTTGAATAGCAGCGTGAGCCCTGGCTACAGAAAGCTTGGCAAGACTCTTCAGAAATCCCAGATTTTATCAAGAGAAAATCTTTTTACTCAAGTGAAAGTCTCACTTCCTTTAAAGTGGCTGGCACACATAGACATTTAATAAAAAAGTAAAAAAAAAAAAACTTGTTGAGGAAGAGGACTAATCAACCCAACTGATTTTGGAGATCTGGGACAATTATCTGAGTAATTTTAAGACAGAAACCCTGATATTTAGATAGTCGTTATTTTAGTTCTAAATGATCAATACTGTTGATCAGACTCATTCAAATAATCGCTCAAATCCAATTTACTGTCTTAGACAAAGGCTAAACACACAATATTCCATATGTCATGTTCAATCACTTTTGTTCAAAATGTTATCAATTTGTTTTTGAAAAAGCTTGACCTAAAATTGCTGTATCTTCATAGAGAAGTATTCATTTTTCATATCCACAAGAATTATTTCAACAGCATCTATTACAAGAGTTTTGTAATTACATTTTCTCTTTTGTAATACTCCAATAACTTCCCCCATCTTTGACTTTATGCACAATGGGAGAATTGTTATTGCATAATTGCATTTATATGTGCTTCCAATATTGGAAGAATTTCTCCTGTCAGTTTTTTGTCAACTACATATAAAACTGCAGAAKAAAAATTATACTTTAATACATAGCTTCCATTATGCAATAGATGCCTCTAATATCCCTCACTTAATGCCATAATTCCACACATACAGTTTGTCACCTGGTATATGTAAAAAAGAAATTATTTAGATATTATTGGATAGTTATATCAAAGTGCCAAGCAGAAAAAAAAAATGACATCCAATATTCACCCAGGATATAGACAAGAAATTTTAGTTTGGTGTTTATAATTCTATCACAGAAGAGTGTTTTTCAATCAATGGTGCTCACAGATTGCCAGTAAAAGATCATTCTTCCCTGGTGAAAAGGCTCTACATCACACACTTCCCATAAACCAATGAAATTTGGTATTGATGATGCTGAGCAGATAGTTTATGTGTCGATGGAGAGACAAACCTTAAGTGATAAGAAACTATGCATGTCTTAGGATCTAAAACAGGCTGTTGAAATTGAAGTTAATACTAACTAGCTCAAAATGCCATGGGAATGGCCAATACATACATCTGTATCATTTTCTCTCCTGATGCTTAGTTCTAAAATCAGGCACAGTTTTATTTTGTTTTGTTTATCTTGTTTGATACGTTTATTTGTTTCCTTTTATGGTTTACTGGCTTAACCTCTATGCCTGTGTTCTAGATAGCTCTTGGTTTGGAAGTTCAGACCCTTTTTCTTTTGGAAGACTTCATTCCTCATTTGAACTCCCTCTGCTTCAAAACTATGCAATTCACTGCTGTTTTCCCCCTGTTTATTCTTGGTGTGGAGTTGTCAAGGGAGAAATGTTGGAAGGGAGCGGAGAGAACAGGTTTTACAGATGGGTGATTGGCCTCTCATCTTCTAGCCAACTATGAGAACTATTTGGAATTGAAGGAGATAAGCGATAGCAAGTCATTGCATGTCCTTTTGAATTCATGACCTTCATTCTTGAGTGAGAACAAAACTAGGTAGGGACCTTTATTATCTTCTTCTTGTTTTTCTCAAAGATTCTGATTCTTTCTGATGGGTTGGCTGAAGATGAAGATCTCGGGCAGGAGCTTTTGTGTTGTAATTGCAAAAATCTTGGTGAGATCTGACTGAGGCCGGTGCTGGGGCTCCCTGAGTTGACTTCTCTTGACTGGGACTTTTCTGTCACCTAGTTCTTGACCTTCTGTAGAAAGAGCAACAGCTACAGGTCTGTGGCTGGGTTTTGTTCTCCACATGCCCTCAGCTGCCAGTGGAACTGTTCTAACCCCTTCAATCAACATTCTCTCTGGAAAAAGAATGTTTTGATCCTTTAAAAATATAGGAAAAGGAGACCCATTTGTTCTTTCCTATTTCTCCTTCCACATCTTCATCTCCTGCCCTCCACATGAGCAGCAGCAGTGAAACAGCCATGGACATCTGGGAGGGGTGGGAGCTCTTCTGGTCACATCTCAGAGATGGCCTCCCGGATGTTGGTCTGATTTCTCAGGACTTGATTCATTTCCGTGGTCTACTTATATGCTTCTTTCTTCTACCAGACAGGGAGCACTCCAAGCTTAGGGATTCTGTTGGACTTACCTGGGTATGCACAGTCCCAGGGCACATACTCTTTGGAAAAGAAATGAACAACTAAACAGTAAAGCATCATTTTTACCATTCAAACAAACACAAGTGTACTCTGGATAAGATCTGAATAATGCAAATGCAAGAAAAGAAAGAACTTTCTGGATGCAAATATGGGAAGAAAAAAGCAGGTGTCAGAAAGGAATCCAGGTGAACTGGGAATAAAGTGGCTTTCAGGGCATCAGAGACATGTGGGGTTGGGGCCAAACACAGACCAGCACAGACTCAGAGGTGGGGTGCTCTCAACAGGTGATGGGTTGTGCTCCTTTCTCTTGACTAGATTTGAAAAAAGAAGTGGAATAGAAAAAGGAAGACATAATGAAAAGAAATGACCAAATTATTATATATCTATCTATATCGATATATATATATGTAAATATACCACAGTGAATTTCACCTTTATGTATATCTATGAGGCACTAATTTAAAAAATAAATAAATAAATAAATAGAAGGAAGACCAGTAGAGTAGAAGAAGGGAAACAAGGAGAGGGAGGAGAGGAGGGAAAGAGGAAGTAGGAAGTACTAGGGACTTTAGTGCAGCAAATATGTTCATTTCATGGACGATTATTTTAAAATGAGCCCCAAGAGTATGTATAACCATAATGCCCTGGTAAAAACACACAAAAARAGATATACTGCTGTGCTTTTGTTATTTGACAGGCTTTAAATACCAAAAATAAATTAAACTGAAAAAAAAACACATTTTCAAGGATTTGGGGGAAATGTTTTTTTTCATAAATGTTGATCTTTGGAAAAGGACCACTTTAACGCCAGCTTTCAATCTCAAGAAAATAAGCAGGATGCTTTGTGAGCTATGAAAACCACTTAGATCCACTTGGGTTAAAACACATTCCACTCTTGTAAGTAGTGCCGGTTCATTGCCAAATGTGTAAATGCAGTCTCAGGGTCGATTGTGCCTTTGGAATATCATCGTTTCCCTTGACCTCCGCACATTTGGTTTCATCTTCAATAAGAGAAAAAATCCTGGAAATCCCACCATTGTTTGGTTTCCTTTCTCACTAACCTATCAGGGCTTTTCAGAAATCCCTCTACCTCATTCTACACAGGAAGTTTCAGCAGGCAGCTGTACAAATGGCACTGTATTATGCGGGATGTCACCTATTGTTATTGGAACAAAGATATCCAGAAATAAGGACAAAGGCTTCAAATCCGCCACTGTCCGGGACCCTTCAGTAGCCTCTCATTGTATCTGAGAAGTGATTGAGTGAATTGGGTCACTCCAAGAATATACCTAAGCTCCAGAAACTCTACTCTGATGGGCCTGCCAGGATGGAGCTACACATAGTGTATGCAAATAGCACTGGTAGCCACTTGGCTGTTCTTTGTGTTCTGCATAAATGCAAAGCAGGTACTTTCTAAAGAGATGTGTTCACCTACATCTTCACACATTAGTGGGAAAAAAACTGTCTGGGGAGTGATCCATAACTCTATTCCTTCACAATTGAAATTACAGGAGAGACAAAATATTTATTTATCAAAAGTGTTATTAAAATAACTCTTTTTGAGAAGTTGATCCTAAATCATATGACCCTAACTTGTAAGACCTACATATGCAACAGTACATATATTTTATATTATGTTAAAAAGAAATACTGGGCTGGGGATGTGGCTCAAGTGGTAGCGCTTTTGCCTCGCACACGTAAGGCACTGGGTTCAATCCTCAGCACCACATAAGAATAAATAAGTGAAATAAAGGCATGCTGTCCATCTACAACTAAAAAAAAAAAAAAAGAAATACTGTGCTATAACAGACAACTGGCAATATCAAAAGAAGTGAGTTGAGGGCTTGCATTTACTATGAGTACATTTGACTCAGAGTCTCTAATCTTAAGAGATTCTGAGTGCAGGATGCAGTACAATGAGCTGTGTTTATAAAGTGGAATGGAGATACACCAGGACGGGGTTGTATTTAGCAGTGTTGTACTTTATCTTAATGGCAAAATCACTAAAACATTTTCAAAAATGTTATCTCAGAGCATGGACACACAAAAAATCTGATGTCATCCTTAAAAGTTGGCCTCTTTTTTCTCAATGTTCGGGATAAGCTTCTGTGCACATTAGCCATTTTATGCACAAATATCCTTGTTTCTCAATCTGTCTTTCCTCTTGGCATTTGGGTCATACCTATAGTAACAGGTATCGAATTACTTGTTGGGGTGATAGGATCCTGCCTTGATGGACAATATGGTTCAAGTTTATAGAGAAAATCTATATCTAATCTCTTTTTATTTTACTTCTAACTAGCACTGCTAAATAGTGCTTCCTTCTTTATTTGGCTCTGATTTTGGAAATATTTTCTTTTCCTCCACTAACACCATATTGACACTCTGTTTTCTTGCCTGCACATTCCCACTTCATTGGCCACCTCATGAGGACTTTTCCATTTTCATCCAGGACCTGAGAAGACATATTTCTCAGAGACTTCTAAATTGATTTTATCTTCTGATGTTGCTCAGTACACTTGGGATAGTATCATAATTTGAATGTGAGGTGTCCCCYAGAAGCTCATATGTAAGACAATGTAAGAAGGCTTAGAGAGAAATGATCAATTCTGAGAACGTTAATCCAACCAGCGAATCATCCTGTGATGGGATTAGCTGGRTGGGGATTGAAAGTGGGTAGGGTGTGGCTGGAGGAGATGGGTCATTAGGGGTGTGACTTTGGAGATAGATATATATACCAAATATATATATTTGGTATCTGGCAAGTGGAGTCTCTCTCTACTTCCTGATCATCATGTGAGCTGCTTCCCTCTGCCACACTCCTCTGCCATGATATTCTGCCTCACATTGGATCCTGAGGAATGGARCCTGCTGTCTATGGATTAAGATCTCTGAAACTGTGAGCCCTCAAATAAATTTTTCATCATCTACAGTTGAAAGGATTGTCAGGTGTTTTAGTCACAGAAGTGAAAAATCTGATTAAAACAGATAGGTGGAAAAATTTCCTTTCTCTGTGGAGCAAACTCCCCTATTTCTGTGCATAGATGAAACTCTATTTGAACCAAGTATCTACTATTCTGGAAATCACAGTTTCCACCTGGATTGCTGCCATCAGTGAATGACAGCTAATGTAGTAATTTCATCCTATATATGCAGGAATCGCACATGTTTTTGTTATTATTATTATTATTTGCTTAAAAGCAAACTACCCAGAGTAATACTCTGATTGAAAAATTAATGCTGGAAAATGCACGTTGACTTCTTGACAAATCAATGTTTTGTTTATTTCGATGTCTTAATTAAACTGCAAAGGATTTAATTAAAAGACCCATATGAGAACACAAAACTATTTTTAAAATAGTGTATGTATTTTCTGTGAATAAATTTTAGAAGTGATATATGAATAAGAGGTTGTTTGCATGATTGATATTGAATCTTTGTGAAAATAGCCTGCAGTTTTCATTTTTATGTGATTTCTACAATACGCTGATTCAGAAAAAAAAATAATTATGGGGCACCAGTTATAAGTGACAGAAACACAGCTCAAACTAGATTAAACTAAAAGGAAACATTTATTTGGGCTCATGTAAAGAAGGAGTTCCAGGAGTGGGTTGTCCTTGGAGACAGCCAGGTCCAGGAACTCAATAATTTCTCYGTGCAAATCTTGGAATTCTGCGTTACATAATGGCGGCTTCATTGTCAGACATGTTTTCTCCATCTGGTGGAAAGAATGCCCCGCTTAGGGGTCCAGAATCTCAGGAAGAGGTATTTCTTGTTTTCTTGCCAATCCCCATTCATTGTAGGGCTTCTGTGGATCCAACATGGGCCCCTGGCTGACTAGTGGTTCTATGGCTGTGTCTGGAGAGAGGGCTACTTTTAATTGGCCATCCTGGGCCACAAGCATGTCCTTCAGGCTGAGAGAAGCTACTCCTCCTTAACAGAGGAGAGGTCATGTCACATAAGTTGGTTGTTCTTTGCAAAGGTCGTGAGAACTTAGTGTAAATCATCTTTTTTTTTTGTGTGTGTGTGTACACATTTAGTTTTATTGTAACAAAGCAACTTGTACACTTTTAACGTTTAAAACTGAGCATCATCTTTCCTTTCCAGTGAAAACAAAAAAGAAAATTTAAAAAT